TGCCCTCGCTGCAGATCAGTGAGAGAAATCCAATTAAAGTTAGCTGTAGTGCTCCCTGTTAAGTACTTTCTAGTTATTTTAATTAAGTGTGAAATTGAGGTATTTGCATTTACTCTTACTTTTCTTTTTTTTTGAGCATTGTGTGATTGTGTCGAAGTTAGACCGTCTGAAATCAATGCAAACTGAAATTGGGAGTTACCCACACCCTTGGATTGTAACACAAGCAGGATTCAAAACCTCAGCCTGCAACTATGACCGGCTGACTTAATGAACTTGAAACATCCCATTAAGAAAACCAACCCAGAACGAGGTTCCCAGGAGCATGACAAACTGAGGGGTAAAATAACGTGTGGGTTGGACCAAGCACTATCAAGGAAACGCCTTGATCTTCAACTGTGGCCGCCAGATCACAGAGCCGTCTTGAGGGAGGACATCAGGTTCTCATCCGATTTGCTGCTCTTAGTAAATGGTCCCAGAATATCCTATTACAGGCAGAGGGTGCACACAGCTACCCCAGGCATTAGCTGACTGCTCAACTATGCCCCTACAACATATAAAAATCAAGTGACAAAGCAGATGATTAAAGAGAAATAACCAAAAAGAAATTAAAGCTAACGGTTATCTTAAGTTACATCAAATTGTCTTTTGTCCTCCCTGAGCAGCTACATAGGGATGCTGGAACCAAATTAAGAAGAAAATTATAACCTGGCTCATTTTACCCAACCTCGATGTTAAACATCATTTCATGTTGTCATCGCAGCCATTACCCTTTGGCACAAACTTTGGCCACTCTCATTTTTCCAAAATCTTATTCCCTGTTAGAATCCAAAAGAAGTTTACAAGTGGGTTAGCAGCTCAATTTAAAGCATGTTTGGGGGGGCTGTAGTTAGCACAGTCCACAGCATAGACGGGGCCAATTTAAATCTGTGCTCTTTTGGTAAATGTTAGGAAAAGCAAAAGGGTCAAAAAATATCTAAATTTGCTAAAATTTGGAGCCACACAATAGCCAAAAAGCTATGGAAACAGAAAGACCACAGAAAAGACACTTCCAGAATGTAAAAGATAGCAAGAAAATATTAAATTTCAGCTCTACTAAATAAAATATCTTCAGACGCTTATTTTTTTTTTTGTTTTAAAGACATCACTGAGATCATAATCAATCAGTCTGGCTACTTAGACACACAGCGCCCCAACAGAGGATTTAGCAAAAATGAAGTACTAAATAATTCAGTATTTAAGCAATCGTGTAAGGAATATGTAGCTGCAAAGGACAAATAGCAAAACAAGATTATTTTTCTGTTACTTCAGTATATACTGTAGCTTTAACAGGGCCTTCCAGCGAGCTAGCTAAACATTTTTTCCATGCATAGAATTGAGATGCTAGCTTTCAATCTCATAGTTTAAAAAGTTAGACTTAAAAAAAAACCAAACCATTTTTACTGTATTTACAGCTATTTTCTTTTTCTTTTTTCTCAGCTAGGTTACCCTTTTTCTTTAAAAAAAAAATAATCCTGCCCTGCTCTGTTACAAATCCATATACCGCTAAGCTTGTAAAGGAATATTAGGAAAGTCTCATTTTTGGACACATGTACTACAAACATATCGTACATGCGTTATGTCCAAGAAATTGGAGAGATAACCCTGTTCAGACAAATACTATATTCTCAGAATGAGAAATTTAAATTAATAAGCTTTAAAATTTCAGTTTCCTCAAAGATTTTTTTTTTTTTCCAGCTGTAACATACACAAACTAGGTGAAATTTATGCTCTCCAAGAAAAGTTGTGATGAATTTTGGATATGCTTTGATACATCAGCTCTAATCTTCTGGAAGATTTTCACTTTTTCATTCTTTCTCAAGATTCATTATCAATATTTTGGACGTCTTACAAAGCATGAACACAAGCCCCTGCGAGAGTCCCACAGAAGTCAACAGCCAAAAGCACAGTGACAAAACAGGCATTATTTGACACAATTTCATACAATTTTTGCATACAGCTCTAAGAATAAAACTCATATATCGAGCTGTTAAAATACAGGCAGGAGCCTGTAGCACTGGAATTTGTACAGAACTGATACTGTAAAACGTTATGCCGACACTTGACAAAATGGAAATTGCCGTTTGCAAATCTGCGCATCTTGAGGCCATGGTATTAAACAGCATCAAAATAACTCATTAAGGTGATAAATTTCAGCTTAAGTCCCCATCTCTTTTATTCTAGCATCGAATCTAGCATTGAATTTCCGTCTAGCAGCTGCAGTAAAACACTAAACCATTCTCAGCGGTTGAACGACACGATCTCGGCATCACGGTTTATTGACTCATGACGGATGACCAGCACGCCTTTCAAGTCTTTGATCACCGGTAGAGATTCTTGGTTATCTTTCAAATGTTTATTGCAAATTTCTAAACTCAAATCTAAGCCAAACAATAATGATTAAAACGGCAAGACATCAACTCCACCTAATTTAATACTAAGATCTGTTTTTAAAGTGGAAACTTTTTGAAACTTCATACCAAGCATGTTTTCAGTTGTTGGCTACAGAGCAAGCAAGAATTCTGTACTGAATAAAGTTACACTAGATGTTAATATCAATTAAAGTCTATTCCCACAATGAGCTGAAAGCACAGAGCCTGTTGAGCAGAATTTGAGGTGTTCTGCCTAGTTTAAAAACCAGAATTCTTCTCTGTTTCCACCCTGCCATCATGATAAAAGGCTTTCAGAGTTCTAAACCTATTTTTTTTCCCCACCCCATTCAAACATTGGAAAGCAAAATATAATTCTAACAGATTTAACCCATCCACAGCTACTTAAATGGACACTTCTCTGTTGCTTTTGGGATCGTACAAAATTAAATGGACAATTCTCCTGTTAATTTCAGGACTGTTCAAAATAAGTCAAACTTGTCAATATAAATACCTATCACATGCCCATTAAAGCTTACCCATTTGTTTTTTCCACTGCTTTTCTAAATATGCTAAAAAATGTTGGAGGCCAGTATTTTTGTAAAGTCAACTCAACCATTCTGCAGTAAAACCAATTTACAGAAAGTACACTGCAAGATAACTCTGTAAGACCCAGACTTTATCGTGCTGAATTACTGAACTATATGCAACCTTCATTTTTACGTTGCTCAACTTTTGAGCAGTTTTAGAGATTTTGGTGTGCATCTCCTTCGGAACTCAGGAAAACAAACCCCAAAACCTAAGAGGAAAGGGATGGACCCCTCACTCACCGGGCACCTGAGCTGACTACCTTTCTGGTGGGACAGCAGCAAGACTGGAACTCTGGTTTATTGGACAGAGCAGAGACCCCAGTCTGGAGACAACTGTCACAAGAGCAGGTGTCACGCCATCCTTTGAGGGATGACACATTTTGCCAGAGGATTTTGGCTACCTCCCCATTAGAAGGAACGTTGGAACTCTTCAGATCTGTCCCACGCTGGAAGAACTAACAGCAACTATTTCCAGTGCTCCCACATTTAAACTCAGTCCTGTCCCCTCTTGCCTACTCCTAGCCCCACACCAGGTCGAGGTCCCGACTGCCCATTCTTACTTGTGGGAACATCCCATGCTCTACTTCATAAAGGCTCTTTATAGCTTACCTCGCCTCCTTCAGCCAGTTCTACTCTTGTCTATGCTGCAAAAAGAAGGTCGCAAGGTCTAGTCCCCGCTTTCTGTGACATTACTGTCAGTTCTTGTAACCACATCTGGCTCTTGATCAAGCCTACTCACCATCCCTCAGATTTTTTACCTCCTCTACAGTCAAACTGGACAGCTGCTTCTTGCCTAGGGGTCATTCAATTCAAGCAAGAAAATAAAACTACTACACTCACCTTCTACTCCTGAAGACACTCTACTATCAAAGAGCTGTTACAGGGACTATTGCCCGGCTACAACTGGCAGAGCTGGCTCACTTGCTTCACACAACTGGGACACGGACAGTATCATCAATGCTACATGGAGTGAGGGGAAGTCATGTGCAATGGAAGTTAACAACTTAGAAGAAACTATCAACTGATCTTCAGAACCTATACAGGAATCGCTAATAATTTGGCTGAATTAAAGGCCTGAGAAAGTCACAGCTTCTGTCTCAATGTTTTATAACAGACATGTTTGAGATCACAGTGGGGGGGATTTGTTTTAAGTTTGGCAACATAACAAACAACTTGACACCTAGTCTTTTAACAGGCAAAAAGAGAGAACCACAACAGTTTCCTGGCTCAATACAAATATAAATACAAGGCAAATAAACATCTGACAATTATTATTTTTTTTTTTTTTGGCCAGTTGTTATAGGTGAATTCAAGTCCGGAAACATGAAGCAGTTGATTATTCTCAAAGGATACTTTGCACAGTAGTAATCCAAATACAAAATGCATATTGGCATGTACTACAATGAAAAAGTGTTGACATACATTCACACTTTATTTCATTTTTTTTAAGGAATGAAGTACCAGTAAAGATCCATGTGTTTGCCTTACTGCAAACTCCTTGCTTTCACTGAGAAGCACTTCATCTTGCAGACAATCCCACACAAATGAACGCTTCCTTTCCTTAGATGTCACATTAAACTACTCAGGTTTTAAGTGTTGTGAATGGGATTTGCAATCTGTTATAGTGTAAGTAAAGAGGATTGTCTGTATTTATGGAGCAAATGCTGGAAAACAAAGAGAGAATAACATCTCCTTTAAAGTAACTGCAGACAGTACAACTGGCGTATTTTGAAATACTAAAACAACAATATTGGATCAGCATATGAAACTCTACTGTAGAGACAGAGTTAATGTACTACTTTCTTCTGCAAAGTAGAAACAGACTGATGTTTTTTTCCCTTGTTTCCCCCCCCCGCCCGCGTAACAAGTAGCAATATGAAATGCCATTACTGCCATCAGATAACTTATGTACTCAACTTCTGCATTCAATGAATCCCTTAAGATAACATCTATTTAAGGAGATTTATCTGGCCGTATTCATGTATATTAAAAATACACATACACATTTTGCAGACTTGCAATTTAATGTATTTTCATAATTCACTACAAAAATGTGGTTTCACAACTGCTACCATACACTGGGACTCCTACAGTAGAATGGAGGATGTACAGATGTCTTTCCCAGAACTGGCAATACTGCGCATTGTGCAAACCTTCTAGGACTCCAACTCTTTTTGAGCAGCAGTTAGAAGAAAACTTGTTGGTTGAATACTGATATCAAAATACAGATTTAAATAATTTACTCTCAAAAACATTCATATTTATAGACTCTTACAGAAAATAAACAATTCATCCGATTATCAGCTATGTCCTCAGTTTTTCCAGTTCCAAGGTATACACCGGTCTCCATCCTGCAGCACAGAGTAGAAATGCGAAATGCAAAGGTGCATGCCTTGTAGGTACGGCAATGATTCTTCTAGCAGTCGCTTACAACAATCTATCATCTGTGCACTGGAAACACTGGGTTCCTTATACAGCCGATCCAAAGAAAATTTTTCAGTGGAAGTATCGATTAGTTCTTTTTCCGTAATCATCATCCTAGCAAATGAAGACAACATACAGTGACAAAATTAGAACTTAATCTCTTTAAAAAAAAAACCCCAACCTTGAAAAAAGTATATTTGTAGGTATATGCATGTAAACAAAGGTGTCACTTCATGTACACTATGGTACAGCTGAGACTTTTGTGCAGGTTGATACCCATGTCTAAGTCAGAGGCTAGACTGAACATGCTTCCATGACTACGGGCAACAGCATACCTACAGAGCCACATTTGAAAGCCCGCACCATGACTTTTTTTTTTTTGCTTACCAGGGAATGGGGAAAAATACCAAAATAAAAATCCTATGAGGCTCCATTTTTAATGTAAGGGATGGAAGTACTTAAATAACCTTAAAAGTGTAAGCTTCAAGAAAAGTCATGTTAGTAACTATTCTGTCTTCTTAACTAAGACTACTCTGCATGTCATCAAAAACAACAGATGACAGGTACAGCCATCTGATACATTAAATGTGTTAATAACTTACTAATTGCAGAAAGTATATGGAACATTGAATTCATAGCTCGCAGATGTTTTTTTTCCATTCACCTCAGACAAAGAATGGTAAGACACCACATGGCAAACTCAAGGTACTCAGAAATGAAGTTAATGTGCAGAATTAATCAAGAGTCACTGGAACAGTGGATCACCTGATGCAGAGACAGTTTGGGTCCAGCAAGACTTACTAGCAAAGGCACTGAGCCACATTAACATAGCTATATACTTCTTCCAAGCCAGCTTGGTTAAAGAAACAGCAGCATCGCTGTCCTACGACACAGACCTTGAGCTAAGAGGGCTCTGCAACTCCAACCTGACTTTGTGAGAGGAGCTACAAAGCAGCAGCCACTGGGATGCGGATCTGCCCAAGCTAAGCACGGACACAGCTACCAATACCGTTTGACTCATAAAATGACTACTGAAGGGGCTCAACACCACTCTCTCCAGAGCTCAGTTTGGTATCTCCCTGTGCTTGCATGGGACCGCACTCTGCTGAGGCACCTGGATGGCTCTACCCAGCTCTGGCAGTCAGGGCTGACCCGAGCCAGTGAGTCACGCTGGAGCAGGCTTGCCCTCTCTACCGACCACCTCTGCACCACCCTCCTGCGCACTGTCTCCGATACCCGAGCACCAAGCTCTCCTGTTCCGTGAAATCTCAGGCTCCCTCGAAGGATATAAAGATAGCGGCACACAGTGAGAACTGAAGGTTTATTTTTAGTCACTTTCACAAGGAGGCTTACACCTTTACCACAATACAAAACCGATACTTTACAAAAGCAAGGAAAGGGGAACTAGACTCATACTAAATCCTGCATTACCAGAAGACTGACATTATCCACAAAGATAAAACCATTTTCTAGAGCAGCAGTGTTTGAACTCTCCAGTGCATCAGGTCATACAGAACTCCAGTTACGCTATGCTATTTACTGGATGTAACACATGCATCTGCTTGTGCAAAGTAAATTCGTACATTTCCGAATATTTTCCTTTATCTCAGGGGCCCCTTTCACAACCACAGAAGGCTAAGGAAAATCAGAAGTACAGAATGGGTTCTGTTCAAGGAAGCATTAAGTAGAAAAGGGGTTTTCAGCTTCAATAAAAAGACAACTAAGGGGAAATATGACATATCCACAAAAAAAAGTAGAGGTGATAAATGCAGAATGACTGTTTTGCATTTCCTACAGCACAAGAACAAGAGAATGCCAAATGAAATCATCAGGCTGTGGGTCTATATATAAAACAAAGAATACCTCTTGCCTCCTTCATATACACATGCTATATGTAATTCAACTGTGCAATTTGCTGCCACAAGATATTCTGGGGCCATAAAGTGCAAGTTGGCTCAAAATTAGACAATTAAGAGGGGAAAACAGAAGATCTATTGAACACTCTTAACATGAGATAATGTTTCCAGTTTCAAGTATTTTCTCAAATGCAGTCAGTCAGAAACTGGGAAGGAGTGAAAAAAACAAAACCAACCACATTTTTTGCCTCATTCATACAGTCCTTCCGTAAGCTAACAGATGATGGGGACAGACCTTCAATATGACCCAGTATAGCTGTTCTTTACTACTTTATACAAACCAGCAATCATCCAACACACAACAGAAGAGCTGAGATATTTAGCTTGGCTCTTACATTCTTACAACACAGCTGCTTATACTCTGAGGGGAGTCCCACAATTCATTCACTGCTAGCCTAAAGATGACATTTTTCCTGGATTAGTGTCTTCATAAAGTGGGGTGGGGTGAGGCTTTTTGGAGAGTGAGTTACCCAGATGCAAATACATGCAATTGCTACAACATCGCTCCCAGCCTCTACAGACAATACTTTCCCAGCTGTCACATGCGGACAGCTACAGAGAGGGCTATTCAGCATTTACTATATGGCAAAAGTAACTTAATTTCAAAGCTGGACTAGGGTTATGGAAAAATTCCAAACCTCCATGTTTTACCAAAGTCCATCTCCAAAATGTATCGTCCCAAGTGATCACATCTTTAAAGGGCTAGAACCATAAAGCCTTCAGTAAGACTCATGCCTAAAATAATCTTGACAAAAAAACATCTGGATCTATACACCATGCATATACTCACCACAGTGTAATATTTCAACAACTTATTAAAAGCTTTCCAAAGCATAAACTTGCAGTAACAGCATCTAAAAGGTCAGTAATACCCAGTTGCCTATCACAGTATTTTATTCAAAAATAAAACCAGTATCTCTACTTTATGCTCTTAAGACTTAAAGACACATACAAGGTGAAGAACAATATTTACAGTTCTGATAGATATTACAAGTCACAGACTTAAATATTTAAGTATGGTACTATGACTCACCGTTGTCATCTCCCTCATCTCACTCGCATCTGTGAGAGTACCAAGGAGGTATTTCTCTTATCATTCTACCCCAATTTTTTTTCTTCCTCTTGTAAGGTACCAACTAATCTTTTCCTCACCCAACTGACAAACAACTGGAAATAATAATTCTCTAGTTGGTCTCAGTTATTTTTAGTTTATATTTTACTGTTTTAATGTTACTAACATTATGACAAGAATAGAAGTTTGTTGCTTTTCTTACTCAATAAAAAGGTGTCTTCCTTAAAAAAAAACCCCAACCCTCCTTTGGGGGAGTAATTGTAAAAAAAATTACAAAATTTTGTCTTGTAAGCAGAGATGTTTTATTTCTGAATAAAGTACAACTGTTTCTACATGGTGAAGGATGGGCATTTTCTAACAATTGTTTGAGTTCGCTGAACACTGAAATTTTTAACTTAGTAAAGCTGATAGGTAGAGTTCTGTTTTATAAACAGAAGGTTTTTTTCCACCAGAAGAGCATGAACACATTCTCCAAAGTTCTGCTCCTCCTCCAAATAAAACATATGACATGCAAAAGATTTTCATGAGCTAAATGTATTTAGTCACATAAACACTTACTCTTCTTTTCTTTTCAGATTCTCTCTTGCTTCCTGTGCTTTGGCAAAAATAAACCATTGAAGGGTTGCTGGATCACAGACTGTTGGTATCGTAAAGTGTCCAAATTCATGTAAGCTTGGTGCATATCTGTCACTAATGAACACAATGGAATTAAAAAAAACAGGTATCATTTTTTTTATGCAAGTTTTACATGAATTACTTTCAGAATGAAGATAAAAATATCAATTAAACATAATCAGAATAACTGGTAAAAAAATTAACCAAATGTGGTTCATGAGAACACAAAAGCATAAAGCTTTTTAAAAATTACATTTCAAAAGTAACTCTGTGGACAATACTCAAAAAATACAAACAGCAACACCATCACACCCAGCTGAGTGTTGACTTGATTACACAACCTTTGATTTAACCCCACACAACGCCATGAGAAAGACAGAACTTTGATTCTAACTTGAATGAAATATACAGATTTTCTTTAATTTGACTCCTCCTTAACACATAAAAAGACACTTAAAACCTTCAGAAACAAGAAGACTTTGACATGACATTCAAGATTATACTAGTTTTCTTCTTAGTGAGAACAATAATCAGAGTAACAGAAAAAAAAAAAGAGTAAAAGCTCTAAAAGAAATAAACTTTTCCTGCAAATACCTACCTTTCCAGAATCATTTGCAAGCCTCGCAGACTGCGAGGATGAAAAGGTAGTCTACTGTCACGTAATTTATTATAGAAAGAGTCCAGAGTCTCTTAGTACTCTTCTAGAGGCAACATAGGTTGCAGTTCTTCAATATATATTACTTGTATGCCCCCCAGAAGCTGGCTTTTCTGATCTTCCAAGAACAACAGCCTTTTTTGAAGTTTATAATAATTTGGCAATCTCTCAAAAATCTGTGCACACACACAAACATTTCCTTTGTTACAAAGCATATCACTTAATATTAAGAAATGAAAAAATTTAAGAAATTAAAGAAACTATGGAAGAGTCACTTAACAATGCAAACATACAAACTAAGGGCAAAAAAAATAATCAAAGAACATGAAAAAAAATCAGAAATATCAAACATATATATTTTGGGGCAAGATATAACAGAATAAGCTTGTAAGTATTTTCAGTCTTTATACTATAAAGGCACCAAAAGGTCATAACAAGATTGATGGATGTCCTTTATCTCTATATATACACAGAAACTAACAGTCCCAGATCCAAAAGAAAAAAAAAAAAAGAAACAAGGCTTGCATAAAATGTTTTATCACCACAGTTACAGTGGTAGAGCTATTCCACACACAATCAAAAGCGTTATTGCCAGTCTAAATTCTACCAATTCTCAAAAAAGAAAGAAAGAGCCTCTGTTGCTGGAACTAGTTCTTTCCAAGGGTTTGGATGATAACCTAGCCCATCTCGAGTCTGAGGGGAGAGAAGAAAGAAGGATGGTACCAGACCTCTAATTTACAAAACCTACACCAGAAAAAAGGTAAGAAGTGATGAGACTTGTAAGTTGAGACATAGAAGGTGTCACAGGGAGAAGGCTGCAACAGGACAACAAGTGAATAAGGAAAGTCTGTAGTAATGGTCACTGCTTACCACCTACCCAGTTATTACTGGAACACAGTTCTCCGTACAAAAACCATACTGCTGCAACAAGTCAAGTGATTTCAGAATAATCTTTTTAGAAATCCAAGACAGTAGTAGAATGAGAGCAGTTTTTGGCACAGTAAAATCCATTCCTTCAGCATTTCCATTTGTTATAAACTGCAAAAATCCTCTGAATACCGTGCCTCTGACCATGCATTTTACATACTGACTTGGACCCTACTGCTTCCTTTTTCTAATAATTAGTAAAAAAAGTACTAGCATTTAGAACTGCTGTCTAAAATGCGTTAAAATTGGACAAAAAAAATCTTATCTCCAAAAAACTGAGCGGCTAACCAACCTCATGAAGATTTTTCACTGACTTTTTCTGTGAATCACTTGACGTGATCTTCAGTGCACTTTAAAATAAGCCCTTGATCTCAGGTTTAAATACATACCTCTCCTCTGTCTTCCAAAGCAAATACTATCAGCGCAACCAACTCTACATTGTCCCATCTGCATAATACTTCGTGCAGACATGACCCCTTTAGAAAACTCAGCAAAAGTTAGAAAGAAGTAGCACTTCTCTTTTCAAGGAAGACAGTGGGTTTTTTAGTACTAATCAGAAGAACACTTATTTCAATGACTATCAATACTTTCAAATATCAGAGTAGAAAGTTTAGCATTAAATTCTAGTTTCTCAGTTTAAATTCTTTGTAAATAATTCACATTAACAAACCGTGGTGGTTT